CAATGATCAAAACAGGTAGTGAGCTGTTATTTTAGACGACGAGTAGTACTGGTGGATTCGCGGAAGCCGTACCGCGTGGACAGCACTTCCCAGTCCCCGCCTACATCTGCTGCGCTTTATAATCTGGAGCATCGTGGGAACCGGTAAATGCAGAAAGGCCGAGTGGATCCGCTGGCCACCCACGCCTTCCCGAATTAGAGTATAATCATCTACGGAGCTGGGGTGCCAACGTTGCTTCCGGACGAGGTGTCGAAAAGCGAGCTACATGCACACAAGACTGTTGCCCCGGCGAGGCGATCAGACTGGCGTTTCCTCGCTTTGTGAGGCGGACACTGAAAACTATAAGTGGCACCTTCTGACGCCAAATTTTCATCATCCTCTCTATGAGATCAAATTATATTTTGTCGTCTTTGAACAGCAAAATTTGGCGCTTCCTGGAGAACACGCGGCTGGGAGCCTGGGGGGTAGGCACCCAGAGCGCACCGGTGCGTGCACCGCAGCACATTGCCTGCCACTCAGGCGTCCATACGAGACTAACCACGCATCATGACGCGCCATCGGTCGGTGACGGTGGAGACACACAGCAGCTAGTCGAAACCGTTGCGACCACTCCCGTCGTCGCATCGCATCTGCATTATGTCGCAGAAAGGAGTGTGGGAGCTCTAGCCGCCCTGAAGTGCCGTGCTACAGCTGGACTCTGGTCGCTGTCCGGCTGAGCTGTAGCAACCAAGGCTAGAGCATTCGGTCTAGTAATCGGCTCGTCGTCGGAGATCGTGTCAATGCGGGTAGGACGGGACGGACACGACTCGCCGCGGCACGGGGATGACTCGGCCGAGTCGCGGAGAGCAGCGGGCAGCGGGCAGGCCCCCCGGAGGGCATTGTCTAAAGTGTGGGTCAAGGTGCGGCGCGTGCTCTGAGGGGATGGCCCCACCAGCGCGACCAAATGCTCCATGTGCCGCACGGGTCGGTCACTTACATATATGAAGAATTAATACGAGCAGAAAAATTTAGCTTAGTTTGTCCGGAATTAATAAACAATCCCTAAGAATTTAGCATGTGCAGTGATGACGATGACAGTGATACTTAAATGAATCATGATGATTGATTGTCAGTCGTGGAAAAGAAATCTTCATGAATAGCCATAGCGACAGATTAGAAATAAACTTTTAGTCTGAGATTTTTCGAACTGCATTGGCATTTCGGCCTTACACTGCTGTGCGGGTGGGTCGCCCGCCGCGCCGAGCCGGATGCATTATAGCTGTCCGGGGTGCCCGTCGGTGCCCGGGGGGACGGGGCTGCCGGACCGGACAAGGACGTGCCGTGCTTATCGCTCTTGTCGCCAGTTTTGTCCTGTGAGTGTCCTGCCCGTGTCGCCGCGCTGCCTGAGGACACACGATAGCGGCCGCGTATTGTATTGTAGAGGGCGGCGAAAACAAGGCAAAACGTGGGAGAGGCGATCCATCAGGCAGGCAGGAGGACCGGTCTGGGGGCTAGCGAGGGAGAGAGTGAGTAGAGAAGGTGGCATGCGCACCTACCGCACTTTTACAAAAAAAAAGACAAACTTTAAGATTTCGCGAAGAAGTAGTAGCCATGAATTTGGGGCGCGCGTAGCTTAAAACACTGTGAGAAAAACCTGTAAAAGTTACAGGGAAATTTTTCATGATGTAAGTTGGGAAATTACAATTCGAAATTGTAAAATGAGCTTTGTATCGACTAGGAATTCATTTTTCATTCATTAATATTATTCATAGGAAATACAAAATATGTTGTAAATTTACGAAGATGTTTTGCACAGTGAGAGCACTATGCCTATAAATATGTTGGTGTGGTGCCCCACACCGGATACAAGCCTAGAACCACTTGAAAACTAGAAAGTCCTCATTTTTAGAGGTGACTGGAAGTGAATCTTCGTGGAAAAAAACAAACAAACAAGAAATTTCTAACTGTTGTCCCACCTGTCTGTTGTGCATAAGACTTGCAGGATTTCATGCAGCCATAGCTATGCACAGTTTTTCATGCATAAGTATGCAAAACTAACGCCACTATGCACAAATTTGTGCATAGTAATGCTGAAGTTTTACATAGTTATGCATGAAATTTGGTGCATAACTATGGCTGCATGAAATCCTGCATACTATGCACAAAGTACATAAGGGTTTAGTGTGAACAGAATCGATTGATTCGTAAAATGTCGTCGATTTCCTAACCTTAGGGCAGATGTGAGCACCGACCGGGCGGTCGACCAGTCCCGCGATTGTCCGAAAACAGACAGTGAGAGTAAGACGCTCTCTCGCCGCCTATCAGCGCCTATACCTGCGTCACACGCGCACTTGTCAATTTGTAGACCATCCTGTGACTGGCGGGACGGCCCGTTATGCTCACCTCTGCCTCGGGGTCCAACTATTCGTTGAAATGACGTGTCTTTCGCACACTGAGGGGGGTGGCCCCGGTGGTCCTTCCGGTCCTTCCTGCTAGGTATCTTTTCTGTCTGTTATTTTCTCTCTGTTAAAACAAACGGGGCTGTTGATTTTTTTCTAGAGTAGTTCAGCAAATTGTTGCAGAACAGAGTGTAGCGGACTAAGGTGGGTGGCCTAACTAGGTATCGCCAGGGGCCCAGTCACTACCGTCAGCATCTCCCTGATGGAACTGCGGGATAGGATCCGGACACGACATTCATCCTGGATGCATCCTGGCGCGTCCTCGCTCTCCTATGGCGTCCACGACCTATCCCAAACACGTCCGCGATCCTGCGTGTCTCAATCTCATCCAGACCTATCATATCCAGGACGTATCCTTGTCTGTCCCAGATCTGTCATCTATCCTCAGCCCATCCAAA